GTCAGATAGTGATACCAGCATCCATTCACGTTTTTTACACATACAGTTCATTTTGCAGGGCAGAAAAACTGTTAGTTTGATCATTAGTATAATTAGTCTCGTACTGTAAATGAAAGCTACAGAGTAATTGTTAATTACAGAATTAAAAGGAATAAATGAAGCTCTTCACTACAGTTATGAGAAACATCATGCATAGAAAAGCTATTCACAGTTATAGGAAGCACCTTTGCTCTGTGTTTACTTGAAATTCTTCACAGTAGCTCTCTTTCACATTTCCATGCTCATCTGCAATCGTGAATAATTGCAGGTGACATAAATGAATCGGGCATTCGGGAAGCATTCATGTCTTCATTCAAAACCTGCACCTGTTAAGTATTTACGTGCATTAAAATGTTTTTTTGCAAGAAATCAGACCTAGATCTGTCTTCTTGAAAGGGTTACAAAAATCTGATCTTTCTCTTCCACCTACAGCAGGTCAGCCACTCGCACTTCATTCGTGACGTTTCACTGTCCTGCAGTTACATATCTAAGTTAAAAAATGAAAGCTTTCGTGATCTGTATCAAAGACGAATGAAAATAACAAGAGAAAACTTTCACATATCACTGACATTAACTTTTAATGCTCATTTCAGCAATAGATGTACCTCAAACTCAAAAACGTAAAAAAAATTGCTAGAGACCAGGTCCCCGCAGCATTCCTCGGCCAGCAGATTAACCCCAGCAGGACAGAAACAGCACAAGGAACACTTTGATACAGCTTCCACAGTCCCCAGATCCCAATCCAATCAAGAATTTGCCAAACACCCCCCCCCCGAGGTTTCCCGTTCATGGCCCGACAAATGATGGGGACGAGGGGGAACCTGCACAATCTTAGGCGGGTGGTTTTAATGTTGTGGCTGCTGGATATATGTTCCCCTCCAAGCAGAGCAATTTAACTGCAGACAGATGTTTACGTTCACCCAAGCACCACACATCATGCTCAGCAGCAAACACAGAACGTTGTGTGGAGCTGTAATTTTCATCTACTGTAGATCGATTGTGCCCCGTCTTTGAAATACAGCCCACAGATCTCTAACCTCGTGGCTCATGTGCTTCTTTCTTTTGCAGCCACTCTGTTGTTGGAGTGCAAAATGTCTCTGCTGCAATTCACAAGAGCAGTTCTGTTTATATCAGGACAAGGAAAGTAAACGGAAGCCTCTCCAGCGTTGCACGTCTCTGGAGAGCAACTAAACTTTCTTGACAGAAGAGTGGCCCGAAGACTGAAGAGTGGCAAGCCCTCGTGAACTTTCAATATTTCCAGTAAGAGTTCAAACACGTCTTTTCTTTGCAACATCTGCTGGAAGACAAACCAATTTTGCAACTTTGAATATGAGCCTTCTGACCTCAACCCACTCAGTGTCCTTGGTCATTAAATAATCAAATCTGCACAGTACACATTTGTTAATGTAAGTGTATCTGCTGCTGTTGCACTCACGTGGATTTTGCACTTGAATCTCCTCAGGTTGCTATTCTCCTCCATAAATTATTCACCAGGGAGCTTTAACTCATTAATAAGGTCAGCTAGAGTGGGCGGAGAAGGTTATGTCTGATAGTGAGTCCTTGAAACTCTTAAACACATTTAAGTTTGTATTCCTGCATTATTCCATAAGAATGCACATTTGTTTGAATGTGTTTTAAAGTTAGCTTGCTAGCATTGGTTTCCTGGATCAGTGTTAAATAATGCAGTAAACAAGCACAGATCCCTGTGAGACAGGAAAACAGCAGCTGCTGCAACAATGATTTCTTGGACCACACCATAAAGCTACCTCATTACAAATACATTACATATAAAGATTATAAGCCGGGGCTTTTGGTGCTCCTGCACTCGAGGATTTAACCATATCCATTTCTTCTTCCTGATTTCAATTAACCACTGACCGCATGACTACATCTCAGCATGATAATGAGCCACTCTGACAGACAGACTGCAGTTAAAAACGCACTCTCAACTACTTCATGTTTAATACAAGTGGAAGGATGCTGGTACATCAAAGAGACGTTACCTGAACATCATGTTTCTCAGTGTTAGATCGCTTAGCCAGAAATGATAATCAGGTGTTAATTAAAATAACAAAGAAGTCCTTTTATTCTTTTATTCCCAGCAACATTCTGGCTGATTAAACCTGGCTCAGGTCGAAGGTGGTTAGAACTAGAACTACTATGTGTAGTCGCTGCGTACAGGGTGAGTCAAAAAGAATCATCTAATTGTAAAAGGCTGTATTTTTAAAGTAATGGACATGGAAGCTTATGAGAAATGTTTAAACATGTGGCCGAATATAAAGTTTTACATACAAAACCATATTCACGAGTGCCTAACGTGTACCCCTCTCACGGATTATGTCCATGCGCAGTCAAACTCCTCCCATACTTTTCCAGCATGTCTGGAGTCACTGCAGCTGCTGCTGCCAGCAGTCAGGTGAAAATGTGCTCTTTGATGTAGTTGCCAATTTAAACTAGTGTAAACCACAGAGATGGGGGGTGAGAGGGGGACGTTAGCCAAGCTGATGTCCATTATGGACTGCACTCCTCACCCCCTGCATAGTGCAGACTCTGGAGCTCCTTCAGCTGCAGACTGAGCAGCATCACAGGTCCTTCATCCCGACAGCAGTCAGACTGCACAATGCACACATGCAAAAGTTACCTGCAACAATATACATGCAAATATTTTATATCAATCATTTGTAAATAGTATATATTACTCTTGCATAGTTTTGGGGTGTTTTTTAGTATTAAAGTCATTTTTTCTTATTTTTTTTATTTATTTTTTTAATCTTTTAAAAAAGTATACATCTGTAATTCACTTTTTCTGTCTAACCCCTTTGCTGAATTTCCCTGGTGTGGAATTAACAAAGTCCATATCTATGTCTATGCCACGGAGTGTAGGTCTATAAAGTGTGACAGTTATCTCTCTGTGGCCAATACAGCTGCAGCAAGGAGCCAAAAACACATTGTGTGTATTACTGGTGTTACTGGGATCAGTTTCTGGACAAGGTCTTCAAAAGTTTCCTGTATAACAACAATGACGGGGGCACGAAGGGGAAAGCTGTATCTTTTTTTTTCTCTGTAAGTGGACAAATGAGATTTATGTGCTATTGTAAGATTATGCTTACAGTTAAGTCGTGATGTGGCCTTAGCTATTTAGAGACTTGACTCTCAGAAAGTAAAAACTCCTCAGTCCTCACTACATGAAGAAAGCAGTAGTTTGCAGGCACCTGGAGTATTTACTTATCAGACAGAGTTGCAGTGCTAACAACTAACACAGGAAAATATCTTTCAACACTCAAAATTTTGACTTAAAGGCAGTGTGCACTTGAACAACACTCGACTTCCATTTGTCAAGCGTAGTTCAACTCGGTCTTTTGTTGATGAGATTGAATTAAGACTTGACTTGGATTTCTCTTGACCAGGTGTCTGTTATCTAATCAAGTTGCTGGACTGGAGTTGCCGTAGACGTCTTGAAACACTTGAGACTTGATTTGGTCTTTTTGTTAATTATTTTAGACTTGGTGCTGTCTCTAGTTACTCTCATCAAGCAAAAAGCCAAGTAAAGAACAAGATCTTGTGGCTGTCTTATTGGTTGGGCTTCAAGCACGCACCTGTGACAGCACCAATACAAATAATTCATATCTGGCATCTTCACAGGCTCATTTTATGTTTTCCCATGTGGTTTAGTGTGAAAACAAGATCTTGATGAGATTTAACTGCTACATTTGTCAGTAATTACTGAGTGAAAAACAGTCTTTTCTATATAAACAGGAGCTTCTTGCTTTCTTTGTACATTATTTAACAGTTTTTCCTTTTTCACGTTTCCTACTTCAGCAAATGACACATGCTTGAACCAAGTGCATTCATTATGACTCAGCATGGTGCACTAAGGCCTGCATATATTAATGCTGGATTCATGATTAATATTTAACACATCCAGGAGCATTTTGCACTATTTACATCTCATAAGAAACACAAGTGCAACTCCCAAGCGTATTAGACACATTAAGCAGACGTTTTATTGAACTTTGCTTCTTGGACATAGATATTTAAAACCAGTCAACAGAAGTCACTCCAACAGAAAATTAGACATTCCACAGGAAGCACCGCCCTTTATTTTTCCAAGAACTTTTGGCACAAGCAACAAGAAAAGATCGTGTCGGGAAAGTGTGGGTGTGTTTCTGACAGGTCAATGAATCTATAAAGGGAAGAGAGCATTCGAAAACATCAATGAGGAAACAGGTTGCACGGCACACTCTGCCACACATGAATCGATTGAAGCCTAAGGTTCACGATACACAAACTCTGCTTTAGGCTATGGCAACATTTGGCAGGGGTGTTTGTTGGCTAACTTAACCCACTGCTTTATGTTCTCTGTGTAGTTAGAACTGTGAGTTTTCCACTGTGAGTTTGCAAGTCTTTGCTCTTGTTTTCATTTTTTTAATCCATGATGGAAGCTGCAAAACACAACATCATCAAAGTCCTCAACCCCTGCAAGCGAAGAAAGACCGAGATGCAGTCCTGACATATGAGTCTGGATGTCTCTGCTCTTAATTGTGTTTCTTTAGCATATGCATGATTAATAAACTGTATATTATATATAAATATAATACACACGTCTGTTAAAGCGACTACAAGAAATCACAAAATTTAATATCTGACAGAAATAAATGTATTGACCTATAATTTGTTGTCTCAGTTATGTTACGAAGACAATCTCACATTGTATATAGTGTATATATTTATGGTATGCTGCATACACACACAGTTCATTTCCCTGGGTTCCCTAACAGAAGTCTAAACTTTGTCTCCTGCTGTATCCTCGTCGTTTGAGTCTCTGTTGATGCGTGAGGTGATGCTCATGGTTTCCAAGAATAGTTGTAAAATTCCTGTTCGCGTTGACGCATATGAAGTCGGTGTGGTGTTGTGTGTGATGTGTCTTGTGTGGCTGGTGTGGTGTGTTGTTGTAATGTATGCCGATGTGTGTAAATTGATTAGCATCAGATCCAAAATGATTTGCAAGCAATTTCTCTCAGCAAAGAGATTTTGGTGTTTACGATGTCCTTTTAGCCGTTTCCTGTTCTGGTCTGATTGAGGTGACCTTTGTGCTCTGTAAACTAAAGAAATGACTTCAATCCATGTGGAAGGAGCAGGAGCTGTAAAGCCTTCACTCTGGTGTGGATACAATGAAGCATCACTGAAGTAGTATATGGTTTTTAGTCTCATTTATTTCCTCTTCTGGGTCCATGATATAGCGATACTGGTCCTTTGTGTTTTACCCAGACACTGACACTCAGGAGAAGAGAGTCTTTGGTCACTGAAGGTGAGAGTGGCGTGACAAAAAGCACCTCTTGTCTTGAGTCTTGGGAACCGCCTCTTTCCTACACAATCCCCTCACTGCGCTTGCTCCTCCACACCACCAGCGCCGTCATGAGAAGGGTGACCAGGATGGGCACGACAATAAACGGACCCAGGATGCGGTTGGGAGGGTCCATGGGAAGCCGTCCGGTCAGAGAGCAGTCGTGAAAGTAGTGCCTGTGGACCCGGATGAAGAACTCATCCACCAGCCGGTTGGGCCAGAAGCAGTCCATCTTCAGCGCTACCAAGTACGTGCAGTTTGTCAGCTCCTCGTAGAGCCTGCAGAACAAAACAAAAAATTAGAAGGCAGCAAAGTGAGACGCAGAACAAACTCGCTATACACTTACCCAACAGGAAGTGTCGCTACATCCTGTCAACACTCAAACTTCAATCATGAACTTCAGGCAAAAGCAGATCCCGATCATCGGTAGCCAAGCTAGCGCCCAGTTTCCTTGCTAACGTGATAGCCGCTGCATGTAGATTTTATTGGCTGTGTCAAGTTAATTCGTTTAACTAACAGCAGCTGTCACCAGGTTTTATAAAGAATGAGAAGGTAAAAAATGGATGGCATGGCTTAGCGGTGGTTAGCACCATCGCTTCACAGTAAGAAGGCCCTGACTCCAGTCTGCGGTCTCTCTGTGCCTGCCTGAGTACTCCTTCCTCCCACAATTCCTCTCAGTTAAAGAGTCACCAGTTAACCAAAATCCATACACAGGCAGGTTAATTCTGGGGTTAACTGGCGATTCTAAATCACCCTACGACAGCTGGATGAGGCTCCAGCCCTCTTTTGGATAAGTGGAAGAAAATGGATGGATGGAGAAGAAAAATCAAACTTTTATATTAGAATGTTTTTAATGAAAATGATTTATTATTATTGACTACTATAATTTACTTTGTGATTCAAATAAATTTTCTATAGTTGATTTAATCAATTTTAAATCATGCTTTTTATTTGTTTTTGTTTCTAATGTCTCTGTAAAGCACTTTGAATCACCTTGTTGTTGAATTGTGCTATACAAATAAACTTGCCTTGCTTTGCCTTAATCCAGTATGTTTCATCCATAATCATTTGTGCAAGGCCTGGAGACATCTGAGGATGGCGATGCCCTCGGTGAGGAGACAGGATGGCTAGACAGCCCAGACTGATAGTTAAGAGTGTTTCTACTCAGGAGTGACTCGGGGACATTTCTAGGGTAGAAGGAGGTTGTCATATCAAGTACAAAGCTGTTCTGTCTCTTTGTGCAAGCAGCCGTACTGACGCAGCCGGCCTCCCCACATCTTTGTGGAAATAAAGGAGCCCGTTAAACTTGAAAACAGCACAGCGCTGGTTCTGTGCGGGCTGCTCTGATTCCAAATCCATTACGCTTCTGAAACCACATCTAGGACCACCTTCCGCACTGTGGGGAATTTACACAGATAAGATGTGCTGGTTTCTGTGCCAGGCATTTTACAAGATAACCTTCAACCCCCCCCAAGCTAATGGAATTATCCAATGGCATGCTAGCACTCAGGAGAGCCTCCTGTCAGAAGCTGGTTTGGGGAACATCTTTACAGGTGCGGCTTGTGTTAGTGCAGAAAAATATGACTGATCATTTTTTTTCTTACAATCAGAAAAATAGAAAGCACAGGCTAACACCTTTAAATGTTCCTGTCTACTTCTATCACTTTAGCATGTAATAAAATATAAAAACAACCTCTTACTGTATTTAGTCTCGGGAGTCAGGTCTCCTGTAGTTACTTCATTCATGTGTCTTTGTGCTTCCTGTTTAATTATTGCACTTCCTGTTTTACTTTGAAAGTCACATTTAGTTTAGCTTCCCTTGTCTCATCTTCTGTGATTTGGTTCAGCTGTGTGTGAGACGCTGTCCAGTGTCAGTCTGTTCTTCCTGCCTCGGTTTTTTCTACATGTTTTGGTTTTATTTACACTTCTCAGTTTCCCTTTTTGTGTTTTGCCTTTTACCATCAGCCACAATAAACAGCTCACTTTTAATGCTCCACCTGCTCCACCTTTGACCCCTCAGCGCTGTGAAAAAGCCAAACTCTGTGGCTTTATCTCATAAAGTAACTTTTTCCACTCATATATGAACCAAACCATAATATTTGTGTTTGCACATTTAGCCAACATTAGCATTCACCCAGAGTGGCCACCTTCCACTTTATTCTCATTTTAGCTCTGTCTTTTAGCCTCCTCCTGAGGGAAACTTGCGGCAGCTTACTATTCCACTTTGTTCACTAACTAGTCGCTCACGGTTATTGCCATTTCATGCTGGGCGGGTAGCGTGCAGCAGCTTTATCTGAGGATTTTGCTGAAAACAGCTGTCGGCTGCGACAAGAAATTTGGTTAATGAGACCTCTGAGACTAAACTAAGAGAGTAAGGTTGCAGACCATAAAACAAGAAAGAGGCTTAAATGCGCTTACAGCTCTGCGGGGAATTAAAAGGTTAGATGATGATTTTCTGTGGATGGATCGCTACTTCTAATCAGCGCATCAAATACTGAATATGTGCTCTCTGTTTTTAACGTGTTAGTTTAATATTGAAGCGCTTTTGACGATGCAGCCCGAACACGAGGTCTTATTTGTGGAAGGTTTGCAGATGCAAACAGCTCAGGGCAGCTTGGCACGGCACCAGCGCTACAAAGCACTGTGTGCTGCTGTAGGTAGCAAGTTCACTTTTTCTGGGTGTGTACCTCCTTCCTCGACTGTTTCCTTGAAGTCCTGCAAATCATTTGCAGCAGAGATTAAAACAAAGAACATTGGTCCTGCTGCTGGCCTAATGAGCACTGGGGTTTTAGGGGATGCTTATGAGTCACTGAGCGAAAGAAAGCACAACAGAGTCGAGGCAGGCGCAGTGCACACACAGAGATGGAGGTGGTTACCAGTTCACCCCGCGTCGCTGAGGTTAGCGTCAAATTAAAGCTGACAGTATGGAGCGTGTGTGTTTGCATGTACGCGCTTCAGCAGGCTGCTAAATGCAGCTCTCGGTGTAATTTCTGTTAGGCACCATTTCATTTGATCATAAAATCTTATGCAACAGAGAAAAGAGTGATTCAGCCTGTGTGTCAGGAGGCCATTTGGCTGCTATACACACTGCACTTTGAAAGTAAATGGTATACTATTTCAGTTTCAGCACTATCTAAACTCGGCATACAGGCTGTGACATTTCAAACTGCTCTAATAGGGTAAGTGCAAGGTAAGTTTTGCAAGGTGCTTTGAACGCATTTATGCTTCTATTGCAGATTAAATGTTTTCCAACTCAAAAGGAAGAAAAGGTTATTATCTTGTGTCCACAGGAGCAGCTTAGGAGCCTCTGTTTTCTTGTAGGACTGACCAAAACAGCAGTTCCCTAGATGACCACTTGAGGCTGACTACAAAGTTAAAGTCTGTGAGGTCAAAGTTAAAATATCTCCATGTCCCCTTTAATCACAACTATACATCAATTTCAATTGTATTTTGAACCATATTAAGATTGTACTAAGATATGCGTTGTATATTAACATGGGCAACTTTCTCTCAATATATATTACTTTTGTGCAATATCTCTAAAATTAGAAATATCCTGTCTCAGAGTGACGCTGAAAAACTAGTTCATGCATTTATTACTTCCAGGCTGGACTACTGTAATTCATTATTATCAGGATGTCCAAAAAACTCACTGAAAAGCCTTCAGCTAATCCAAAATGCTGCAGCAAGAGTCCTGACAGGGACTAGAAAGAGAGAGCAGATTTCTCCTGTTTTGGCTTCCCTTCATTGGCTTCCTGTTAAATCCAGAATTGAATTCAAAATCCTGCTCCTCACATACAAGGTCTTAAATAATCAGGCCCCATCTTATCTTAATGACCTTGTAGTACCATATCACCCTATTAGAGCACTTCGCTCTCGCTCTGCAGGCCTACTTGTTGTTCCTAGAGTATTTAAAAGTAGAATGGGAGGCAGAGCCTTCAGTTTTCAGTGGAACCAGCTTCCAGTTTGGATTCAGGAGACAGACACTATCTCTACTTTCAAGATTAGGCTTGAAACTTTCCTTTTTGCTAAAGCATATAGTTAGGGCTGGACCAGGTGACCCTGAATCCTCCCTTAGTTATGCTGCAATAGGCGTAGGCTGCTGGGGGATTCCCATGATGCACTGTTTCTCCTGCACTCACTGTGTATTTATACACCTCTCTGCATTTAACCATTAGTTAATATTAATCTCTGTCTCTCTTCCACAACATGTCTTCTATCCTGTCTTTCTTCTCTCACCCTAACCGGTCGCAGCAGATGGCCCCGCCCCTCCCTGAGCCTGGTTCTGCTGGAGGTTTCTTCCTGTTAAAAGGGAGTTTTTCCTTCCCACTGTCACCAAAGTGCTTGCTCACAGGGACTGTTCGATTCTGTATTTTTGTGGGATCTTTACAGTATAAAGTGCCTTAAGGCAACTGCTGCTATATAAATAAAATTGAATTCAACTGAACTGAACTGCTCACCTGGGTCTCAGGTGTTGATCATTCTTAATGCGATTATATAGCAAACATTATGGATTACCTTTTGGTTCATTGTAATAATAGTCAGTCCAAGAAGTACTGTGAGTTTCTTTCCTTTCAGTGACTGCAACTTTTGTATTTTCCTTATACATTAACACTAGTTAGCAGGCTCCTAACCTAGCTTGCTTTTACTTTCCCTCTAACCTTTTTTGGTAAATTTTGGTGACCAACCCTGGTCTGCTTTAAATAAAGCTTATGTGTGAGTTCAACATGGAAGATGTGCAATCTCTCATCTTTCTGCTTCCTTGGTGTTCAGCTGCTAATCTTTTCTTTACATCACTTTCATTTTCTTGCCCACTTTCTGCGAGCTAATCAGCCTGTGTGCTCTAGCTCTCAGTGCTCCTCCGTCAGTCTGTACCTCCTCCTCATCTCCACCTCACCTGCTCACTCAGAGCTCCATCCAAGCCTCCATCTTCATCTTCACCACCACTGCTGGGATTCTGTTCTGCTGGGTCATCAGAGTGTAATTAGCAAGTAGCCTAATTTAATTCTCAATAAATCATATTCAGTTAGTAAACAGTATTCTTAAGAGTAGTCTAAGTACGGAGACACAGAGCTGAGGGCCTCTCGTCCTGGTCCTTGCTTACAGTGAATCACACGTTTAAATTCAACCCAGAAACATAAGCTCCAAAATATGCATGTAAGAGTTTTGTTTTCAACACAGAGCTTAACCAATGTGAGGGTATCGAGTTTACTCAGAAAATTAAGAAACACAAAAATAGTCCGCTTCCTCGAATTCAATTTTCCATTTCAGCATATAT